TCTTTACCACTGAGTCACCTGGGAAGCCCCCAGAGAAGAAGTTAAAGCCATATGAAGAAACTGCAAGATAAAATAAAAATAACATTTACCATTTACTAAGTGTTTACCAAGGGATCTAAACTGTGCTAAATAAGCACGTTACACATATCAGCTTATTTCACAACAATTCTGTGAGATGAATAGTATAATTATCCCTATTTTGCTGATTATAAATAAAAATAGAAGCTGACAGTAACTTGTCTGAAATTACTCAGGTAGTGTTAGAAACAGAATGTATTCTCAAACCAGTATGGTTGTCAAGCTCTATCAAGTTCCTAATCCTCAACAGTTTTGATCAAGATCAATTCATCACAGCTTAGGGTGAACTACATGACCCCTTCTGACAATGAGTCTATGAGTAAAAATAGAAATCAATTCAGAATTCATATAATATTTGTGGCAGTATGCTCCAGGCATGAGGGGAAGGTCATCAATAGATGAACCAGTAAGAAGAGGAGAAAGGAAAAATGAAAAGAACAGGAGGAGAAAAGGCTATAGGCCCTTCCAAGGCACCTGACACAGCTCCATTTTACTAGACATTCACTAGGGCCACCATGACAAGAAAGGGAAACCCAGAACAGGAATTGAAAGTAGAACTGTAAGGGTAGAAAGTAGAACTGAAAGCTATAAATAAAAATTGCTTCATCTACCATGATGGTCTCAATGTAGATGAGGAAGGAGCTGTAGGAAGGCCCTGCAAGAGTCAGCAGCCATGAGCTCAGTGCTGGGCCAGAATGCACAGTTCTCACATAAACACTGGTCAGCAGTTAAATAAGAATAGTTGAATATAGATGACTGACCACTAGGTTTCTAGAAGAGGCATTACCACAAGTGTCAGCATGTAGATCAATCTGAAATGCATGGCACTACAGAGAGTGTGGTTTAAAGACAGAGTAGGGGAGGAGCCACCATTTACTTCATTAAGATCCTCAATTTCCTAATGTTCCAGGCACTGTGCATGTGCTTTCCTGAATTACCATATTTAATGCTCACAATAGCCTTAGGTACATGTAACAGTTAATTTTACATGTCAACTCAGCTGAGCCATGGTGCCCAGATTGCTCAAACATTCTAGATGTTTCTGTGAAGGTGGTTTTTTTTTATGGGATTAACATTTAAAACAGTGGACTTAGAGTATAGCAGCTTTACCCTCCATAATGTGGGTGGGTCTCATCCAATTAGGTGAGGCCTGAATAGCACAAAAGATTGACTAATCCTGAGCAAGGAATTATGCAAGTTGACAGCCCTGGGACTCAAACTGCAGCTCTTTCCTGGGTCTCCAGTCCACCAGCCTACCCTGAAGATTACAAGGCTCCTCAACAACATGAGTCAATTTCTTAAAATAAATCAATCCCTCTCTGTGAAGAAAGAGATATACATACACACATGCAGATACACACACCCTACTAATTGTTTCTCTAGAGATCCCTGAAATCAGTAGATACTGATTTCTATTTTCACCAGTGAGGAAAGTAACAGCCTGAAAGGACCCATTCTCCTTCCCCATTCCATCACACAGTAAAATGCCCTCAGGATTCACATTCAGATCTGAGAGATTAGGGTGGGAGTAAGAGGATAATGAGAACCATGGAAATCGAATAAACACAAGTCACACATCCCAAGGAGCCCTTTACAACACTCGCATCACACATATGAGTGAATGAGTGAATGAAAGTCACTCAGTCAGGTCCAACTCTTTGCAACCCTATGAACTATACAGTCCATGGAATTTTCCAGGCCAGAATACTGGAGCGGGTAGCCTTTCCCTTCTCCAGGGGATCTTCCCAACCCAGGGATCAAACCCAGGTGTGGATTCTTTACCAGCTGAGCTACCAGGAAAGCCCAAGAATACTGGAATGGGTAGCCTATCCCTTCTCCAGAGGATCTTCCTGACCCAGGAACTGAACTGGGGTCTCTGGCATTGCAGGTGGATTCTTTACCAGCTGGGCTATCAGGGAAGCCCTATCATACATACATGCAGAGCCCTTGATGTGCCCAAGTGATGTGTTATCCTTTCTTTGCTCTCCTGGTTCAGTTATTTTTGATTAAAAAGAAAATCAAACATTCCTACTAAATCAACATTTGAAGACTGTGAAAGAAAAGGAAATATAAATGGTAAAAAAAATAGAAGGAAAAGATTAAAAAGGAAAATAAATAGATATTTGTGTCAATTAAATGATGGTAGACCTTGTTTGGGCTTTCTTTGGGTAGTCATCCATTCACTCCCTCAACAAATATTTATTTTGTACTTCATATTTTTATGGGCTTTTCTGGGTTATGGATAATGCTATCTAGCTGAGGAGACACAAAATAGTAAATGTGAAAAAATTCCAACTAAAATCAAGAAAGTTTCACAGAAAAGATGATATTTCAGCTGGGACAGAGGTACGCATTTAACTAGCGGAGAAGAGGGAGGTATTCCAGACAGAATTTCTGACACAGTAAATTTCAATTGAGTCTATGTTCTATGTTGCTAAAAGTGTATGTGTGGAGAAGGTGGAATGAGGTAGAGACCTACGGCAGGATATGAAGCTGAAAGACCAGCATGCAATGAGAAACAATACGAAGGACTTTGACCTTTATTCTGCAAGTAAGCAGAGTTATGAAAGAGACAATTCATGGAGTTTGCATGAATATAAGGACAACTGGGAAGAGCTTAGACAGATATAACAGATAAAGAAATCATTATAAACTTGAATGAAAATTAAACCTTGAATAAAGACTAAGTCTTAAGTACAATAATAATGTTTATCATTAAAAGGTATGAAAGTACTTCATATGCTCTAACTAAAAAAATTAAAGTTGAGTTTACACATACTTTTCAATCTCAACTAAAAATTTATGGTCCAGAAAAACTGGCAATTACTATAAAACCATTATTATGCAACAATTATTATACAACACATTTGTATATATGTGGAAGTCTTTCTCAAAACAGTGAAATAAAATTCAATTGGAGTTGATGTAAAGATTATTATTATTATTATTATGGTAATGATATTTTTATTATTATTATGGTAATAAATTATTTGTGGAATAAATTATTATTATTTTGGTAATAAATCTATTTGTGGAATCTGAGTCCTAAAATGTGAACTAAATATAAACCAGAGGGCAAAATGTGGCTGAATAAAGCCAAACAGACCTTGTAAATCACCACAAATGGAAAAAGAGCTGGCCTTTTATATCTAAAGAGTGAATTGGTCAAGAAAGAAATTTAAAATGTAGGAATATAAATTAGGACCTAAGAGATCATTCAATCTTTTCTACCTTTTCATTCCCCCTCTTTTCTGCTGATAGCTCTCTCACCATTCCTAAAAGGATTATAGATATCCATTCCAGTAGTTTCCCTTCAACTTAACTTTAGTTATGGAACTCTGCAAAATCCCAGCATATAAAACAAATAAAAATATAAACCTCAGGCTGAAAGAAGTCAGAGAGGGCGGGTTCTGGGGTATCCTAACTTGGTTTCCACATGGGCCTTCCCCATCCCTCTGAGACAGCTACCCCAAAAGCCTTAATTTTTTCAGTAAAATGTGAAACACATTGGTCCTTGTCCAAACCTCTCAATTTACAAATGAGGACAATGAAACCTAGAGAGCTGCCTAAGAAAAAGATGTTTCCTAGTACTCCTGCTAAAACTAGAATGCTTTCTCTTCTTCATAATCTCTAAATTTCTGGGTTAAAAATGATTTCTTATTCTAGAAATTCACGTCATCCCTCTATATCAAATTCCTATTCAAAATTCACATAAGTTAGTAACCATCAATTTACTAAGTATCTACTTGAGACCAAATACTTTGCTAGGGACATGTCATGTATTCTCATTTAACCACCACCAAATCCCCCAGAGGTCAAGAAATCGGGCTGAGAGAGGTATATGAAACTTCCCAAGGTCATAGAGCTAGTATTAATAGATTGGAATTCTGATCTAACTACTAAAGCCAAACCTCAGACTCTTGTACTTCTAATCCCAACATTTCCCAAATCTTTGCTTATCTTCACATGCAAGCACACACTCGTGCTCAATCGCCCAGTAGTGTTCGACTCTTTGAGACCCCATGGAATGTAGCCCTCCAGGCTCCTCTGTCCATGGGATTTCCCAGACAAGAATTTTGGAGTGGGTTGCCATTTCCTACTCCAGGGGATCTTCCCCCACCGAAGAATCAAACCCCCATCTCTTTTATCTCCTGCCTTGGCAGGCAGATTCTTTACCACTGTGCCACCTGGGAAGGTCATCTATCTTTTCACAGGCTCCCAGAAATACAGAACTGTAAGTGATATTGTCATTTCACAAAAGATGTACTTCTTCATCCAGGCTTCTCTGGGAATACCTACCTCATGCTTCAGCCAAGCACAAAGGCATCATGCCTACCTTAAACCTCTAAACTCAGACTTCAGAACTACAGAGATGCTCACCTTCACTCCCCCCTCCAAATTTTGACAGACTAATGCAACTTCCAGGGAAAGTTGAAAACTCTTAATAAAAGGGCTACAAAAGCAACAACTCTTGAGTTGAGCATGAGACAACAGACTGGCATTTTAGATTGAAAAATATTATATATTATGTGGTAAGATATTAGAAATTTGAACTTAGGGGCTGCTTTGGGACAAAAGATGACTGTCACCGCGAAGTAGGCTCCAGAGCTGGCATTAAATAATTTCAATTTGGCGAGAGGTCAAAGGAATTTTAGGGCATCCTCTGCAAGCAGGAGTTGAAGTGACTGTGCTGGTCAATCACAGAAGGGAGTGTAGAGCCAGAACTGACAATAAATTATTGGTGATGGAAGATGAGTTTAAACAGACTGAGACTTGAGGCCACCATCTGTTACATGTGAGTCAAAGGTCGGACAAGTCCTCAGCATCAGGGTTCTGCAATTTCGGATGAGCTCCGGTGCCTGAAAACCACAAAGCCCCAGTCCTCGCCACCCACTCGGACACTCCAGCCCTTTTGGCCTTACCTTCTGTTGGATGTAGCGAATCGAATACTTCAGGGTAATAGTGGGGCGGGATTTGAAGCTGGTTGACCAGGGCAGGCTGCTAGGGGCCCTCAGTGACGGCGATACGGGGCTGGAGGCCGCAGGAGTCAGGAAAGCTAGGAGCAGGAGCAGGAGCAGGAGGGAGCGGCACCCCATGGCTCAGGACCGAGGCTGCAGAGCGGGTAGAAGGGAGACAAGCAGATGCACGCCGCCCCGCCCAGCCCGCAGCTCCGCCCCCGAAACAGGCCCCTCCCTCCCCGGGGAAACCCCATGCCACCCCGCCCCTCAGCAAAGCCTCTCAAATTCGAACTGCCCAAGCCATTCCGACCACTGTCCCAGTCCCACAGGGCGCCGCCAGATTTCATTTCCCTCTTGTACCGTCCCCTCTTTAGCGTTCACCTTTAGTCCCTTCCGACTCAAAGCCTGCCTTTATCATCCCAGGGCCCCTCCTATCTGACCTCTGAACCTCATTCTTAACTATATCACCCCCTCGCAAACACTTTCCCCCCACCCTATATCCTCCCGTTTATCGTCACTGCCAAACCCTGCCCTGTCCATCTCTATTTCATCGCCACATCCTTGTCCTCCACAAACCCTACATAATAATAGTGTGTGCATGCGTGCGAACGTGCTAAGCCGCTTGAGTCGTGTCCAACTCTTTGCGACCCTATAGTCGGTAGCCTGCCAGGCTCCTCTGTCCATGGGATTCTCCAGGCAAGAATACTCGAGTGAGTTACCATGCCCTCCTCCGGAAGAATCTTCCCAAGCCAAGGATCTAACCCAAGTCTCCCGCATTGCAGGCGGATTCTTCAGCGTCTGAGCCACCAGGGCAGCCCCGGGAAGGGCTACTGCCAACTAAAAACTGGTACTCGCCACCAGCTCTACAAGGACTAAATCACTCACTAGCCACTCAGCCCTGACAGTCAAAACAGCCTGAAAGGAGGAGCTCAGGGTACAGATCTGCTCCTCCTGACTGGCAGCGGGACCTACCAATCCGTATTAATGTGTGCATATCCTGCCCTTTTCACTACAATCATATATACTACTAACCTTCCCCACTGCCTCTTTGAAGCAGTTCCTCACCGATATGGGAGACGCTGTCTCTAGGGTTATAGCCCTCATTTTGTCCTGCTACAGGTCACGATAGCACTGGGCTTAGTGGCAGACACTAATTCAATCATGGGTCGTGTATGACTGCTACCCTCGCTTACAGCTGAGGACACTGAGGTGAGGAGAGGTGCCGGGACTTGCACTAAGTCACTCAGATAGGAAGCAGTGCAGCACGGCTTCCTGGCTCCTTTGCACCGCCACCTCCGGGTCAGCCTAATCACCTCCTAGGGCACTGTGGCGGTTGGTCACCCCTACACATGCGTGAAGCCCACGCAGTCCACTTCTTCCACTTCTCAACTGAGGTCGCCCCGGAATCCTACTAGGTCCCGGTCCCTGCTTCCTAGCTACGCCCCCTTCCGTCTTCCGGCACCCAGCTTCGGACCCCGCCTTCCCTTCTCCTTGGGGGCAGTCCCAGCCCCAGAGGGCGGAGTCCCCTTCGGTCTTCGCGACTCTCCCACCACCAACTTCCGCTTCTCCTTCCAGTCAGCCAGGTGAACGTCTGAGGGGCGCTCCCACCCACTACCACCCTTCCCGGGGTCCCTACGCCTAGCTGGCTCAACGCTGCCTCAAAATCAACTGTACAGACTGTACTACTGCTCCATCAGTTGGAAAAGGACACTTGCCAAACCCTCTCTGACAAAAATGGTCGTTCCCAAAAGCTCACAAGTTGTCGCGCTACATCTCCACCCTCGGCGGCGTCTTCTTCTGATTGGCTCTGAGTCCAGACAGTCAGGCGTCACTTCCGGCGGAAGGAGGCGCGGGAGATTCGATTGGAAGACACTCTCTTGCCGCTTGAGTCCTGGGGGTCCGCGTCACTGAGCTTCGCCTGGGCAGGTTCCTGGTCTTCTACCTCAGGTGAGGAGGTGCGGGAGGAGATTCTCGGTAAACAAGAGCCAGAGACTCCTAAGAAGACCCTTAAACGTCGTTCTGAGTGAGCCTCAGAGCATTCTACGTTGTTTTTTTTCAGGAGTCAGTCTCTCCCATAAAAGGGCGGTTATGAGAGTAGAAGAGTGAGGTCAGTTCTTTTCATTTTAGATGGTGCTGTTGCAGTCAATCAGAGAGCGTTTGTGTGTGCCATCGACCTGGAAACAGGTAAGTGTCTGGAACCCGAAATACAGGGAGGAAAAAGGTGCTACTGCAATTTTTGAGGTGCTCGGAGGTTCGTACACAGCTGGCTGCTAGGCCCAGTAGTATCTGCTGAAAAGGGATCTTTTCCAAACTGCTTTGATGACTCAGAGGGACAAGTGCTTCACTGAGCAGGGTGTTCAAACCAGAAACAAGTTTTCTAGGTACCTTCCTTTTCTCTCACATCAAGCCATACCAACCTCTTGAATATCTCAATCCATACACTTGCCACCAGTTTTACTTTGGTTCAGCACAACTGCTTCATAGCTATGACTGTAGCCTCCCAGCTGGTTCTTTCAATTTCCTTACGTTCCAATCCAGTCTCCACGTTGCTAGGCTAATAAAGTACAAATCTGATCAGGGCACTCCCCATTAAAAAACCTTTCCTTTGGTCGCTCCTGTTTGCCCTCAGGTTTAAGTCTAAACTCCTTAACGTGGTTAACGGGGCACTTCTTGTCTGGCCTTTGACTAGTACTCCAGCTTTGTTTTTCCACCTCTCCAGCCCTGTGCTCCAACCACATGGAATATCCTTTTGAGTCCCTCAAATGCACCATTCTCCCTCACCTTCAGACTCCTTCTGAATCCCATTCCACCTAGTTCTTACTCATTCTTTAGATCTCAATTTATGAAGCTTTCTAAATCAGGAAGCCTTTCATCATCCTGCAAAATTGGGTCACAAAGCACCCGGTAGTTACTTACTCATTCTACAGATAGTTTTTAAGTGTCTCCCTCTGTGCCAAGAACTTCAAGGTATTAGGATCACAATGATGAACAAGATGTGAGATTCCTTCCTTTTGTGTGTGTGTGTGTGAGATTCCTTCCTAATGGAACTTAAACTTTTTATGTGTGGACTTAAAAAGAATGAAGTGGAATATATTTGAGTTAGGTTTGTCTGGGAAGGCCTCTGAGGAATTGACACTTAAATTGAGGCCTAGAAGATGAGAATGATCTAACTATGCAATAGAAGAAGAAAATTCCAGAGTGAACAGGTTTTGTGAAGGCCTTAAAACAGGAAAGAACTTAGCATCTTAATGTTTAAGAAACTAAGAAAAGGCCAGTGTTGCTGGAATGTGTTCAGAAAGGACAGCTGCATGAGATTATTTTTTTCTATCTGTAACCCTGTCCCCTTCCCTATCTCTGGAACTTTACCTGTCTTAAGTGCAATGAACAAACTGTGCTTGATACTCACTAAGAGTTTCCTGAGTAATATTTTTAAAATATTTTTCATCAGTATTTCTCCAAACAAAAGAGGTTTTGTCTGTTTTTTGTTTATTTCATTTTTTTTTTAATCTCCTGCCTTCCTCTCCCTTTTCCAGAATTTTCATTTTAATGTCAGAAGATCATTTCTCGGGGACTTGTTATGACTGCCTTTAGAAAGATTAGACAAAGTATGCACCCTTGGAGGCCATTAGACAGCTTTAATAAAGCAATTCAAAATAACTACCCTTTCCATAGCTGAGGAGTCTGTCCTATAATATATGAAATGGGAAATCTGAGAGCAACAGAATGACAAAGATTTCCTTGCAAAGCAAAAGCAGTTTGAGGAGGAATGAAGAAAGGGAGAGGAGTTAGTCACATCTTCTTTTCTGTATGCCATTAGAAGTGTGGGCCAGTTTTTTAAAGGAGTGATTTCATCTTTTGGCCATAGTCTTAGACTGAATCAGTCCCCCTGTTATATTTTCTCATGGTATAATGTACTTTTCCTGTATAGAATTTTCCACCTATCTCTTACTAAGCTATAGATCTAGGGACCTTGTCTATTTTGTTCATCACTTATATTATTCCCATCACCTGGTATTTATCAACTGCACAATAAATAACTGATAAATAAGTAAGTATATTGAACTTGGACTTCCCAGGTGGCACTAGTAGTAAAGAATCTGCCTGCTGATGCAGGAAACACAAGAGTCACAGGTTCGATCCCTGGGTCTGAAAGATCTCCTGGAATAGGAAATGACAACCTGCTATGGTATTCTTGCCTGGAAATCCATGGACAGAAGCGCCTGGTGGGCTACATCTATGGGGCCACAGAGTCAGGCGCGACTCAGCACACATTGAACTTATTAAATTAGAATATGGTTTGTTGACTGTGGTGGAACTGAAAGCAATGTAATGCTATATCACCGTCCTCCCCAATAAAATCAAGAAGAAAGATAAACCGCAGGTAGATACCACATATGGAATTGTTCCCAAGTCTGTGATCATGTTTTCCTAACTTTAGTATTTTCTCATTCCTCATGCTTCATTCAGTTGTCCATCGAACATGGATTCAATACCTTAAGTCAGGCACTAGAGAGAGACACAAAACACACTAGATGACGAGAATCATAAGGAAATACTATGGAAACAGCAAAGGGAATGACTAATAGTGACTGCCTAAAAGGATCTGATTTCATATTTGTCACTGCCAATGGATGGAAAGTCTTTGCTGTTTGCTGAGTTTGCCAAGTGAAACGCAAATAATAAAAATACCTCAGTGACCTTTTTCATTTCCGTTCTCAAATTTACCCAGTTTTCTGAACATACTTATTTCTCCACTAGAGGGCAATAAACCCTTAAATAATAACAATTTAACCAATTTCTTGCCTTTAAAAATAAGCGATTAGTGCTTGCACAATTAATTTAGAAATTAATTCCCAAATATTTCTGCTTATATATGTTTTTGATTGACTGGTGACTTGATAGACCAGGCCCCCATTCTCATGAAACTTTCATACTAATGAGGGTAGAACTAACAGAAACAAGGAAGCATGTATCATCTGATATATACATTTTCATGATGGCATATTTCACAAGTGTGATTAGTACCGTAAAGGAATAAAATGGATGATATGGAAACCAAGCAGAAGAGAGTATTTATTGAAATGAAAAGGGGCTCTCTACAGGGTAACATTAAAGATTTAATGATGAGGATGAGAGCCAACTATTTGAAGAACTAAGGGAAAAGCTTTATAGACAAAAAGAAAAGTAAGAACAGAAGCCTGAAAAGAGAAGTTATTTTGTGCATTTAAGGAGCAGAAAGAAGGCTGGCATGGCTTGAAGTATAGTGATTAAAGAGGGCAAGTGGGACGAGGTGAGGTCAAAGAGGTAGTGTGGGATGAGCTAAGGCCTTACAGGCATTGTGGAGAATTGAGGCTTCATTTCAAACTACAAGATTTTAAACAGATAAAAGACCACATTTTCAGGAGGGAGTTTTGCCCTGTTTTATCTCCCCTAGCTCATATATGGGCTTCTGTTGTGGCTCGTGGTAAAGAATCTGCCTGCAATGCAGGAGACACAGGTTCAATCCCTGGGTCAGGAAGATTCTCTGGAGGAGGAAATGGCAACCCACTCCAGTATTCTTGCCTGAAGAATCCCATGGATAGAGGAGCCTGGCGGTCTACAGTCCCGGGGTTGCAAAGAGTCAGATATGACTGAACAATTAACACTTCACTTTTCAGCACATAGGTAGCTGTACCACCATATTAACATTGTACCCAAACTGGATTTTAGAGATTTTGGAAAAGATGCCTTTGCTGACATACATTCCATCAGTTGCTGCTTGGTAAGAAAGAACTTGATGTCAGTAGCACTAATAATAGCAGTGTTCTCTGGCCTACCTTTCCACTATGTCACCTCCTCTGCCTTATCCTTAGAGATTGCCATGTGGCCTAAGGTGGCAGCCAAATCTAGGAATACGTATCTGTTTTTGGTAGAACCTTATTAGTCATGTATACCTAAGGGAACAAAAGCAAGGATTTCAACAAGAATTAAGCAAGGTGAAATGTCTTTGTTTTTTCTTTTTTTGTTTGTTTCCTATGCCCCCTTTAATAACATAAATCAGTGATTTATGTAAATCCATTTGTCTATAATCTTTGTAAGTTTCCCTCTTAACTGCCTTGGTGGCAAGATTTTATTTTCACAGAAATATTCTGATTGATAGACAGGATTAGTGTCACTTTAAGATATCCATTCCAAAATCACACTTATAAATTTGTCATCATCCTCAGGATGAGCTATATGTAAAAGATTGTTTTATGATTTTTAAACTAATGGCTTCCACTTTATCAAAATTTGCTGATCCCAGTCTCAGAATGTTTCATACATTTTCAGAAATTGAAAGATTTTGCCATGTGTTTGCAAATGAAAATTTATTGATATAGCTTTATCTTGAACATCTACAGAGACGTTTATTTCAGAGCATTTACATTATGCTATATATAAACTAATCAGTTTTAAAATTTTTGATAAACCAACGTTTGAATTTTTAAAAAGAAAATATAAAAGGGGTGAATTGCTATTTTATTGTTTTACTTCTCTGATGTGTTTTATACAAGGCTCATAAAGCACTTTGAACTCTTCTTTGATTTTTATTTTTCTATTTGTACACTCTAAAATGTCTTTTTTCCCTCTTCAGGTTGTATAAAAATGTACGCAGACCAAATACTAAAATCTAATGAAGTGATTTTTTTTTTCCCTCTAAAAAGAACGGTTTCCCACCAATACAGGTGTAAACATTCATGTAAGTTCATTTATGTTCTTTCCTGTTAATGGTAGAAACAAGTTCTGTATAGCTCTTCTTATAAAGATGTTGAAAGAAGTTAAATGATACCTTTCTTGAATTACCAGGGTAGAACGTTTATTCAAAAACCCAGTATTTCCTTGAGCAACTCTGTTTTAAGTCTTACTTTCTTAACTATGTAGAAAAAGAAAGTTAGTTTTCCAATATACTGACACTTACTACAAAAAACATCTATTGACTTTGTAGTGAAGGTTAGGTGATAAAGAAGTGAGATATTCACATGCAATTAAAGATTTGCCATTCATCCCAGGGCTACTTTGTTTTGCAGGCCACAGGGAGAACGCATGTATAGAAGAAGAAAATTTCTTCTTGCCTCAGTTCTTGCTCTCCAGAATTCTAGTTTTATATATCCTTCATGTCAAAAGTGCTTTTCTCGGATAATCCTGGTCTCCAAAAGGTAAAAATAAAGCCTGAAAGTGTGAGAAGGAAAATACAAGAATTCAACCAACCACAGAATATACAGTACCATAGTGTTCACTGTTGGGGGGGTGGGGGGAATCCATGGATAAGTATACCCCTGCAGTTCAAACCTGTGTTGTTCAAAGGTCAGCTGTATAAAGTTAGTTTGGGGGGAACTTCCCTGATGGTCCACTGGTTAAGAATCTGCCTTCCAATGCAGGGGATGCAGGTTTGATCCTGGGGCAGGGAAGTAAGATCCCACGTGCAGTGGGGCAGCTAAGCCTGCACACTACAACTACTGAGCCTGCATGCCCTAGAGGCCTCACACCACTACTACAAAGAAGCCTGCTTGCTGCAGCTAAGAACTAACACAGCCAAATAAATCAATACTTAAACGAGCCCTCAAAATCTTTTTTAAGTTTGGTCCTTCATTTGAGAAGATTATCATATATATGTGTGTGGTGTGTATGTGAATGTGATAATTTCATATGAAGGAACAAACTTCAGTTCAGTCGTTCAGTCGTGTCCAACTCTTTGCGATCCCATGAATCGCAGCATACCAGGCCTCCCTATCCATCATCAACTCCCAGAGTTTACTCAAATTCATGTCTGTCAAGTCAGTGATGCCATCCAGCCATCTCATCCTCTGTCGTCCCCTTCTCCTCCTGCCCCCAATCCCTCCCAGCATCAGGGTCTTTTCAAATGAGTCAGCTCTTTGTGTCAGGTACCCAAAGTATTTGGAGTTTCAGGTTCAGCATCAGTCCTTCCAATGAACACCCGGGACTGATCTCCTTTAGGATGGACTGATTGGATCTCCTTGCAGTCCAAGGGACTCTCAAGAGTCTTCTCCAACACCACAGTCCAAAAGCATCAATTTGTCAGCACTCAGCTTTCTTCACAGTCCAACTCTCACATCCATACATGACCACTAGAAAAACCATAGCCTTGACTAGATGGACCTTTGTTGGCAATGTAATATCTCTGCTTTTTAATATGCTGTTTAGGTTGGTCATAACTTGCCTTCCCAGGAGTAAGTGTCTTTTAATTTCATGGCTGCAGTCACCATCTGCAGTGATTTTAGAGCCCAAAAAAATAAAGCCTGACACTGTTTCCACTGTTTCCCCATCTATTTCCCATGAAGTGATGGGACCAGATGCCATGATCTTAGTTTTCTGAATGTTGGTTAAGCCAACTTTTCCACTCTCCTCTTTCACTTTCATCAAGAGGCTTTTTAGTTCCTCTTCACTTTCTGCCATAAGGGTGGTGTCATCTGCATATCTGAGGTTATTGGTATTTCTCTTGGCAATCTTCATTCCAGCTTGTGCTTCTTCCAGCCCAGCGTTTCTCATGATATACTCTGCATATAAGTAAAATAAGCAGGGTGACAATATACAGCCTTGACGTACTCCTTTTCCTATTTGGAACCAGCTTGTTCCATGTCCAGTTCTAACTGTTGCTTCCTGACCTGCTTATAGGTTTCTCAAGAGGCAGGTCAGGTGGTCTGGTATTCCCATCTCTTGAAGAATTTTCCACAGTTTATTGTGATCCACACAGTCAAAGGCTTTGGCATTGTGAATAAAGCAGAAATAGATGTTTTTCTGGAATTCTCTTGCTTTTTCAATGATCCAGCGGATGTTGGCAATTTGATCTCTGGTTCCTCTGCCTTTTCTAAAACCAGCTTGAACATCTGGAACTTCATGGTTCATGTATTGCTGAAGCCTGTCTTGGAGAACTTTGAGCATTACTAGCATGTGAGATGAGTGCAATTGTGCAGTAGTTTGAGCATTCTTTGGCATTGCCTTTCCTAGGGATTGGAATGAAAACTGACCTTTTCCAGTCCTGTGGCCACTACTGAGTTTTCCAAATTTGCTGGCATATTGAGTGCAGCAGCACCTTCACAGCATCATCTTTCAGGAACAAACTTACATATACATAAATTACAAGCGAAGAAGGCAACTCATTTGTCCATATAAGCCATCCACCCAGCTCAAACTAGTAATTGTTGTTTAGTTGCCAAGTCATGTCTGATTCTTTGCAGCCCTGGATTACAACATGCCAGGCTTCCCTGTCCTTCACTGGCTCCTGAAGTTTGCTCAAATTCATGTCCATTGAGTTGGTGATGCTCTAATCACCTCATCCTCTGCTGCCCTTTTCTCCTTTTGCCTTCAATCTTTCTCATCATCAAAATCTTTTCCAGCAAGTCATCTCTTCGCATTAGGGGGCCAAAGTATTGGATCTTCAGCTTCAGCATCAGTCCTTCCAATGAATATTCAGGATTGATTTCCCTTAGGATTGACTGGTTTGATCTTCTTGCAGTCCAAGGGATTCTGAAGAATCTTCTCCAGCACCACAGTTTGAAAGCATCAATTCTTTGGTGCTCAACCTTCATTATGGTCCAACTCTCAACATCTGTACATGACTACTGAAGAAACCATAGCTTTGACTATATAGACCTTTGTCGCAAAGTGATGTCTTTGCTTTTAAATATGCTGTCTTGGCTTATCATAGCTTTCCTTCCAAGGAGCAAGTGTCTTTTAATTTGATGGCTGCAGTCAACATCCATGATTTTGGAGCCCAAGAAAATAAAATCTGCAACTGTTTCCATTGTTTCCCCATCTATTTGCCATGAAGTGATGGGACTGGATGCCATGATCTTAGTTTTTTGAATGTTGAGTTTTAAACCTGCTTTTTCACTCTCCTTTTCACCCTCATCAAGAAGCCCTTTAGTTCCTCTTGGATTTCTTTCATTAAAGTGCCATCATCTGCATATCTGAGATTGATACTTTTCCTGGCAATCTTGATTCCAGCTTGTGAGTCATCCAGCCTGGCATTTCACATGATATACTCTGTATATAAGTTAAATAAGCAGGGTGACAATACACAGCATTGATGTACTCCTTTCCCAACTTTGAACCAGTCAGTTGTTCCAAGTCCACTTCTAACTTGCTGCTTGACCTGCATACAGGTTTCTCAGGAGACAGGAAAGGTGATCTGGTATTCCCATCTCTGAGAATTTTCTAGTTTGCCATGATCCATATAGTCAAAGGCTTTAGCATAATCATTGAAACTAAAGTAGATGTGTTTTTGGAATTGCCTTGCTTTTTCTGTGATCCAACAGACATAGGCAATTTGATCTCCGATTTCTCTGCCTTTTCTAAATCCAGCTTGCACATCTGGAGGTTCTCAGTTCATGTACTGGTGAAGCCTAACTTGAAGGATTTTGAGCTTAATCTTGGTAATGTGAAATGAGTGCAATTATACAGTAATTTGAGCATTCTTTGGCATTGCTTTTCTTTGGGATTGGAATGAAAACTGACCTTTTCTAGTCCTGTGGCCACTGCTGAGTTTTCCAACTTTTCTGGCATATTCAGTGCAGCACTGCTATTCCATAACAAGTGACGTTTTGATATCGGGGTGCCTCTAGAAATTAAACCAGGGACTGTGATTTGAATGTGTTGTCTCTACCCTTGCTTTTCAAAATGTGGTCTGAGGAATAGCTACGTCAGCATCACCTGGGAGCTTGTTAGAAATGCAGAATCTTGGGCCTTGTGCCAGACATAGTGAATTAGGATCTTCATTTCAACAAGATCCCTAGGTAATTGGTTTGCATATTGAACTTTGTAAAGCTCTGATCTATATTACACCATACTAACATTTATTTCAGTTCAGGCTTAACTTATTCCCAAAGGATTAAAGGAACTGCATAAATAAATACCTTCATATTACATATAATATAAAAATATATAATTTAGTGTATATATTCATTATTGCTAATAATGCATTATGCTAGTAATGTCCTAATCCTATTCTTTCTTAGGCTATCATTGATATTCTCTATTTATAACATAGTTCATTCTCAACCATACCATACTTATAGTTATCATGCAAGAAAGAACTCCCGGCAAAGAATCCAAAGCCTTGGATTTCAACATAAAAATCACTAACTTTGTCACCTTGGGTGACAATTCACACCAACTTCCCAGTTTTGTGAATGGGGGTAAATGCCCTGTTTATCTATCAAAAACAAAATATGTGAGTGCAGTTCAGTCACTAGGTCGTGTCTGACTCCTTGCGACCCCATGAACCGCAGCACACCAGGCCTCCCTGCCCATCACCAACTCCCAGAGTCCACCCAAACCTATGTCCATTGAGTTGGTGATGCCATCCAACCATCTCATCCTCTGGTGTCCCCGTCTCCTGCCCTCAATCTTTCCCAGCATCAGGGTCTTTTCAAATGAGTCAGCTCTTTGTGTCAGGTACCCAAAGTATTTGGAGTTTCAGGTTCAGCATCAGTCCTTCCAATGAACACCCAGGACTGATCTCCTTTAGGATGGACTGATTGGATCTCTTTGCAGTCCAAGGGACTCTCAAGAGTCTTCTCCAACACCACAGTTCAAAAGCATCAATTTTTCGGCGCTCAGCTTTCTTTATAGTCCAACTCACATCCATACATGACTACTGGAAAAACCATAGCCTTGACTAGACGGACCTTTATTGACAAAGTAATGTCTCTGCTTTTTAATATGCTGTCTAGGTTAATCATAACTTTCCTTCCCAGGAGTAAGTGTCTTTTAATTTCATGGCTGCAGTCACCATCTGCAGTGATTTTGGTGCCCAGAAAAATAAAGTCAGCCACTGTTTCCCCATTTATTTGCCACAAAGTGATGGGACTGGATGCTATGATCTTAGTTTTCTGAATGTTGAGCCTTAAGCCAACTTTTTCACTCTCCTCTTTCACTTTCATCAAGAGACTCTTTAGTTCCTCTTCACTTTCTGCCATAAGAGTGGTGTCATCTGCATATCTGAGGTTATTGATATTTCTCCCAGCAATCTTGATTCCAACTTGTGCTTCCTCCATCCCAGTGTTTCTCATGATGTACTCTGCATATAAGTTAAATAAGCAGATTGACAATATATATCCTGACATACTCTTTTTCCTATTTGGAACAAGTCTGTTGTTCCATGTCCGGTTCTAATTTGCCTCCTGACCTGCATACA